TTATGTTCTTATTATAATAAAAATTCAGGTAAGGATCTTTTGACTGTTGGATAGACTAGAAACATAAAGAACTAATAATTTATTAACTTTTGTATGCATTACTTTACATTTCCACCTTACAGCTAAATTATTTCACCAAGATTGCTTTATGTTTTTCACCCATCTATTTATTTAAGCCCAGTTAATCACATGTAAATATTTCTATGTCACTCTGGTCTCATTGCAGTAAGTTCAAAATGTATATAAGGAGGATATGCTTCTTCAGATTTTACCTTATTTCAACTTGTTTTCATCCTTGGGTTCCCCACCACAATAAGTAACCATATAGACAGGCAGAATCTAAGTGTGAAATGTTAGAGTAAGTGTTCCGTTTTTAATCAGCTTTGCCTAACTGAGTCAAAATGGTTTTTCTTGGTGCTAAGAAACTTTGGTTTTTTGAAAGTTGGAGTCCAGAAAATTAAAGAATGTGTTAAGGCTGGTGCTTTCAGATATTTTGTATCCTGAAATAGGTTTTTGAAGTGTGTCTAGATAATATAGACAGTAGCATAATAAGCTAATTGTCCTCATGTGTATTCACTTGGTCATGCCCACTTCTTTTTCTAAAATAATTAGGCCTAACAGTTCCCATTATTGATTGTGTTTTTTAATGAAATTACTAATTCTATCTTTAGTAAAGACTAAAGCCTACACTGAGTTTTAGATGCAAGATACAAGCTAGCTTTTATTTGCTTCAAATTCTCTACCAAGAATGGTAGATGAAGTGATTAAAGGCTATTGCTATGGGCAAACCAAGGGAGATAATTAGGCTCTTCAGAAAAACTATTTACAGAGGCAGTTTTGCAAGCGAGTACCACCCACAATCATTTTTCTCTCTATTCTTTAAGGCATATGGTAAGAAACTAAATAAAATCTCCACTCTTTACCATTTACCCAGGATAAAATATATTGAGCAAGTGCCCATTTGTAAAACTACTATATCATTACTGTTACAAGGAAATACTTTGAGGTCATTTTTCTGATTGCATTTACTTGTGAAAAGGTACATGTTTCTATTTCAACTGCCATTTTGACTGGTAGAGTATCATAGGCTTTTGAGTATAATGTGTATAACCTTTTGAGTTATAACCTATGAATAGCTTAGTTTATGAAGGCCATCAAATGTAAAAATAGTTACATTATTGGCAAGTTGTTTCTATTGCAGGAAGTAATTCAGTTTTAAAATAAATGTCATTTTGAGTAATGTATAGGACAACTCCCATTCTTCGGCAAACTTAGGTGTGCCCTCACCAGACGTAGGCAGGAAAAATATTAAATGGGAGAGTTCAGACATAAGACAATAGAAGGATGCCTAGACATATCTCAGAGCAGTGTTACCAGATTGATTACACAATTTGGATTGCACACTCAGAAACACCCCTCAACTTAAACCCATTTACTAGTTCTGATTTTTACATGCATGGCTAGTTTCATTCTAGTAGGTTCATGAACCTGTTTACTCGTAGATTTGCCCTTGTTTCAAGTTTTACATGTATCAGTGAAGTATTTGCAGGTTCTTGGAGGTTAGTCTTCAAATTACCAAGTAAGTATCAAGTAAAGGTTGCCCTGCATTCCTTCAATTATAAAAAATTAAAAACAAAAATCTAAGTTGAATAAAGAACTAAACAAAACACTTATTTCTGTTCATCTCAAATACAAGAGGGTGTTCAAAGGAAGAGTCCTGGCTTCACTAGAAAGCGTACATACGGCATGTGTGCACAGCTCAGAAGGCAAGGAAGTAGATAGTATAGAAGGAGGTAATGTTTAAGAAGAAAATCATTTGTTTCCCCCATCTAAAATCATACCTATTCTGCCTGAGTTATCTGAGTTGTTCTTCTATTCATAGATTCCCTGGCAATTCCAAATTACTTGTTTTAGGCTATTATGCTTCATTTTCAGACAAAAAAAGTTAGAATTACAGAGTATCAAGAAGCATGAACATAAGTTCCCAAAAGATCAAGACTGTCTCTGTGAACTTTCTCTTTTGGCAATAGTGTGCCATGTCTTTGGCCACTTACTAACCAACCATTCATCTTCTTGACTATAAGTATTAAGAGGTTCTCACCTTTGCTCCATCCTGGCATACATAAAAGGCATTCCCATTAATGACAGCATCTGGGAATCAGAATCTTTTTTTTTTTTTAAATACTCTTTTGGGGCACCTGGGTGGCTCAGTTGGTTGGGCGTCCAACTTCAGCTCAGGTCATGATCTCACAGTTTGTGAGTTCGAGCCCCACATCAGGCTGTGTGCTGACTGCTCAGAACCTGGAGCATGCTTTGGATTCTGTATCTCCCTCTCTGACCCTCCCTGGCTCACACTGTCTTTTTCTCTGTGGAAAATAAATAAACACTGAAAAAAATAATTAAATAAATTAAATAAATAGTTTTTGGTGATTTTGTTTTTTTTATTATTTATTTTTTAATGTGTGTTTTTAGGGGGGAGAGAGAGAGAGAGAAAGAGAAAGCAGGGGACGGGCAGAGAGAGAGAGGGAGACAGAGGATCCAAGGCAGGCCCCAGGCTCTGAGCTGTCAGCACAGAGCCCCCTGCAGGGCTTGAACCCATACACCATGAGATCATCACCCGAGTTGAAGTCAGAGGCTTAATTGACTGAGCCAACCCAGTCACCCCTGGGAATCAGAATCTTGAGAAGGGTTGTTGGTATGGTTTTAAGGAGAAAAATAAATGATGCTGATAGCTCCTCTCCAACTTTTCCTTTGGAATCACTAGAATAGATCTAGATGATGACCATAGTTCTTCTGGTTCTAAAATTCTGTGATTCTTTCTCTGTTCTTCTTTCTTTGCTACCTATACACCTGCTTCTCTGTATTGACAGGGCCTAATTTATCAGTTATATGTGTGTGTGTTATGTGTGCATGTATGAGAGAGGGAGAAACAGGATCAATCTAATACACTAATGTACTATAGAACTGTTATTCCTGCTTTGTCTTATGTGCAAACCCATATTGTTTATGTATATGGGAAATAAGATGAGTTTAAATTTAAAAACTTGACAACCCACTTGATGGTATGTTGGGGAAAATATCTGAGAATATCTCTTTTTCAAAACCAAATTAAGGAAGAAAATCTAAAAATATATTTTAAAATTTTCGTATAGCATTTGAAACTTCAGTTGTATCAGTCAGGTTTCTTTCCTCCTCGATCAGAGTATGTGCTGTTCGTCAGACCAGAATTTGTTAAGGATTCTGAGTGGTTCTTTCTGTCTGGGATGCTTAAAGTGTTATATTTAATTATATGTAAAAAACATTTATGAGCACCATTGAAAATATTATTTGAATTTTGTTTAAAACAGTAATTCTAAATCTTTTCTGTATCTGGGACCTTTTTGGCAGTCTGAAGTCTACAAATTCCTTTTCAGAGTAACCTTTTTTAATGTGTAAAGGATTATACACACATATAAATATATAGGTATAGCATTAAAAAGAACCCTGTTAGGGACCCCTGGGTGGTTCAGTTGGTTGAGCATCTGCCTCTTGATTTCGTCTCAGGTCATGATATCACAGTTCAGGAGTTTGAGCCCCACATCGGGCTCTGCACTGACAGTGCGGAGCCTGCTTGGGATTCTTTCTACCCCCCTCTCTCCCTGCCCTTCCCCCATTCACACATACATTCTCTCCCTTTCTCAAGAATAGATTTTTTTTTTAAAGAACCCTATTATATTGAAATACAATTATCAAAATATTAAATTCATGATCTAATATAAGTGCTTTTTTATCAATGCATCGAAAAAGATCTAGAAGCCATTTAATAACTACCATAATTTCAAAGTAGTATTGCACCTAAATCATATTATGAAATACATGCAACAATTATAATGTGATATGAAAATACCAGATATTTATCGTTAACAAAAATCACAGGTACTTTTATGTAGTTTGTTGCTGACATCATACTTGGAGAAAATACTAACTTTCCCCCCATAATTCACAGACACCCTCATCTAAAATTATTTCTGTTTCCCAGACACAGGGAAGCCAGATATAATCCTCATATCTCAAGACACTTAATCTTTGAGGAAACTGGAGCTCAAAGTCTTCCATATTTAGCCCTTAATGCTTTTCAAGCCTTTAAAATAAGCAAGTGGTTAGTTGTTAAATGGTGATTGTCAATACCTCTTGCATTAGGAACTTGGCTTATTGCCACTAGTTTTATTATAGATTACTGAAGAAACATATTTCTAAAAGCCTGTTTAGTTATTTTATCATGAAGTCGAATCAGGACATATCTAGTAATGAGTGCTTTACTTATGTCTTGACTTTGAGCTGCTACGGCCATTATGTTCCTTTGTCATTAAAGAGAAAATGTAGCCCATGTCGTAAGCCCCGAATCATCCTTCTACTTTACGGAACTATTTTTGCTTCGTCAAATTTATGTGATTGTTTTGTTAGTTTACTTTTTTCTGGTTATTTCTTTTTAAATGGAATTATACAATATTTGTCCTTCTGCTTTTAGCTCATTTCCCTTAGCATATTTTCAAGGTTTGTCCATGTTGTAGCACGTATCCGAATTTCGTTTCCTCTTTAGGGCTGAATAATATCCCATTGTATGATATACCACATTTTTGTTTATCCATTTATCTGTTGAAGGACACTGGGTTGTTTCCACTTTGACTAATGTAAACAATGCTCCTATACACGTTGTCATATAAATATCTGTTTGAGTCCCTGTTTTAAGTTCTTTTGAGTATATGCCTAAGAGTGGAATTGCTGGGTCTCATGGTAATTCTGTTAGTTAACTTTTCAAAGAAGCTGTGTGATTGTTTTTTAAAATAGTTTATTCTGTTTTTATTATCCATTCATTAATGTATTTTGATCACTAAAAAACTTTTGGTTTTTGGGGTTTTTTTTTGCTTATTTCCTTGGTTGACTTTTGTTGCTGATTTTTAAGAAATTATTTGTTTTGGTCATTCATTTTTTTCTTTTCTTTTCAATTGTTTGTTTTTCAGACCCGAGTCAGAACTCCATCACAGGGGAACACAGCCAGCTGTTAGGTATAGTATTACTATGGGACTGACTTTCTCTACAGTCACCCTTTTCTTGCTTATACTAACAGACATTACTCCCATTTCTAATTCTATTTTCTATCCCCTCTTCTGCTTTTCACTTCTTGACATTTTTTCCTGGTATTTCTGGTCCTAACTTGATAAGTTTTAGGAAACTACTTGTACAATTGATTGTTGAGCCTCAATGTACTCACATATAAAAATAATTTACATGGTTCTGTGTTAAAAAAAAAAAAAAAAAATCTGTAGGGGCACCTGGGTGGCTCAGTCAGTTAAGCGTCTGACTTCGTCTCAGGTCATGATCTCACAGTTTGTGAGTTCAAGCCCCACATCAGGCTCTGTGCTGACAGATCAGAGCCTGGAGCCTGCTTCGGATTCTGTGTCTCCTTCTCTCTCTACCCTCCTCCACTCACACTCTGTCTCTTTCTCTCAAAAATAAACAAACATTAAAAACAAAAATTTTTTTTTAATCTGTAAAAATTAGATCTTTTTTCCAAGATAATTTTGTCAAGAAGATAACTATGATATTCTATAAGCTTGGGCTTTGCAGCTACTTTGCCCTTTTTATTATTTTTCTTGGTCTTTAATCGCCCTCATTTTAATTGCTGAAAGTACTTCATAAACAGCATGACCTTAAGCTGTAGAAGTTGATGTTCCAGTTCTTTATCTATTAAATAAGTTTTGGAAATAAATTTATTTCTTCTAGTTATCACATATTTAAATTTCAGTAAGCTTGTAATTTAATAGGTATTTCACAGCATCACAAGACTGATAAAAAATTAAAATAAAGAAAGGAAACATACTCTGGTGAGGATTCAGACAATAAAGAGTATCTGTACAGAAAGTAGAGTCCTCTAAATTATCTCTTCTCCTCACCACCTTACCTCTATCCCCTGAGGTACTTATTCTTGGAAATTCTTTAGAAATTTTTAATTACACATTTTCTTACCATCTATGACTATCTTTTTTCCTTTATTCTCCATGGAATTATACTCTACAGACTATGACTTCCTTTCTTTGACTTAACATTTTACCTTGTGACATTTCAGTACATAAAGATTTGCCTTATTCCTCTGTTTTAGAATAGTATTCCATTGTATTCCTGTACTTTAATTTTACACAGCCAGTTCCCTATTCTGGACCATTTATTCCCAGGTGTTTTACTGTTAAAAATTATGTTACAGTGAACATCTTGTACATATACTCTTGCAATCTCATTGCCAGTATATTTGAAAGAAAAATTCCTAATAGTAGAATTCTTTGATCAAAAGGAATACCTGTCTTCAAAAGGATACATCAACTTAGACTTCTACCAGTTAGGAGTGTGGAAGCATACTTGGGCTCCCTATCATAAAAAGTAGATAACCAATCTTAAAAAAAATTTTTTTCCCTAGATGAAGATGGCATGTCTAGTTTTTATTTGTACTTCTTTAATTATGAATGAGGTTAAGTGCTTTTTAAATACACTGACAGCCATTTTGTATATGTGTGTGTCTTTTGATTTGAGGCTTACTTTTTGTTGTTAGAATTTTTGTTTGTTTTTTGTTTTGTTTTTATTGAAGTATAATTAACATACAGTGTTACATTAATTTCAGGCATATACCGTATTGGTTGGACAATGCTATACATTGCTCAGTACTTGCCACCATAAGTGTAGTCACCATCTGTCACCATACAATGTTATTACAGTATTATTGACTATATTTCCTATGCTATACTACTGATATCCATGACTTACTTGTTTTATAACTGGAAGTTTCTATCAGTCTCTTTTTTTTTTTCCTATTGAATTTAGAGGCACCTGGGTAGCTCAGTCAGTTAAGTGTCCAACTTCAGGTCAGGCCATGATCTCACGGTTCGTGAGTTCAAGCCTTCTGTCGGGCTGTCTGCTTTTAGCACAGAATCCATTTTGGATTCTCTGTCCCCTTTTCTCTCTGCCCCGCCTCCTTCCTCGCATTTGCATTCTCTCTCAAAATAAATAAATCTTTTTAAATGTCAAAAGAATTTTAAATCTTTTTTAAATTTGAATATAGTTGGTATGCAATGTTACATTAGTTTCAGCTGTACAACATAGTGATTCTGCTTCTGTATACTTTATGCTATTAATCCCCTTTATCTCACCCATACCCCCACCCACCTCCTCTGTGTCAACATTTGTTCTTTGTTTTTAAAGGTCTTTTGTTTGTTTTCTTTTTATATACAACTTGTAAGTGAAATCATGTGGTATTTGTTTTTCTTTGCCTGATTTTACTTAGCCTTAGCCTAACGTCCTGTAGGTCCACCCATGTTGTTGCACATGGCAAGATCTCATTCTTTTTTATGGCTGACTATTCCATTATATATGTATAGCATATCCTCATCCATTCACTTATCAGTAGAAACTTGGGTTGCTTCTGTAGTTTGGCTGTTATAAATAATGTTGCAATAGGGGCACCTGGGTGGCTCAGTCAGTTAAGCGTCCGACTTCAGCTCATGTCATGATCTCACAGTCCGTGAGTTCGAGCCCCACGTCGGGCTCTGTGCTGACAGCTCCGAGCCTGGAGCCTACTTCAGATTCTGTGTCTCCCTCTCTCTCTGCCCCTCCCCTGCTCATGCTCTGTCTCTCTCTGTCTCAAAAATAAATAAAAACATTAAAAAATTTTTATAAATAATGTTGCAGTAAACACAGGGGTGAGTATATCTTTTCAAATTCATTTTCCTTGGGTAAATACCCAGTAATAGAATTGTTTGATCATATGGTAATGCTATCTTTAATATATTGAGGAACCTCTATACTGTTTTACTCAGTGGTTGCTCCAATTTACATTCCCACTAACAGTGCATGAGGTTTGATTTGAGGCTTATTTTGATTTTTACATTGCTGAACTTTTAGCTCTTTGAATAGTGCAGAGCAGCTATGTAAAATATAAGCTATCAAAAAGTTAACAGTAAGGAAAGTACTTGACTTGTTTGCTCATTACAGGTTCAGAGTATTGAAGAAACTGGGATACTCCTTTTCTGATCTTCCTCTGTTAAGAACCTAAGTTTCTGGTGATAATTCTCATTTGTTTGAGAGAGTTTATGTGCGGGGAGAGTAACTGACACCCTAAGCACTCCATAAATATTTTTTAGGTAAATGGTTTGACATAAACATATAGCTAGAAATCTGATCACAAGGGTCCTAGCCTTGTGATATTGGGTTGTCACTATTCTCTTTTTTTTTTAGACTTTTATATTGGATAGTTTATTTAGACTGTTCAAAATTATTCTTCTCTGTACAAAAATTTCATATTTGGATCAGGAACGGTTAAGATTTCATTGAAATATTTAGGCAGACCACGAAAAGTAAATTTTCCCCCTAAATTATTAAAACAATTCTGTCTCTGATATGTGCCGACAGGTGGAGGAGTTTGAGGGTAGTTTATCTTCTGGCCAGGAACATGTATGTAATAGAGGTAGGGAAGGACTTAGCTAATGAAGTGGACAGTGAGGGGAGTTGGTATCATTCCAGTGCAAGCTGGATTTTGTTTCCAATGAAGCACTTTAAGTAAAAGATAGTAAACAAATTGTGGGCAAAAAGAAATAGTATATGATTGTGAAAAAGACTTCTCTTAGTATTATTAGCTGAAAACCCTAATATCTGCTAAGAGACTACTACAGACATTACTCTCGTTTGGCAACCTACATTTGCATTCACTTTTAAACAAACCTGGGAATGTGTCCAGAGTCTTTTGGCTAGATTCTCAGGTGAGTTCATCGTGCTACCCTGGGTTCTCCCTCCGAGGTTCATTAGATGAGATTATGTTCTTCCTTCTCATGCTCTTAATAACTACATCTTGTGTGCCCCATCCTGAGTTAGTTTCTTTGTTTTCTTTTTTTCCTTTCCTTTCCTTTCCTTTCCTTTCCTTTCC